TAAAATATATTATTTTATAAAATATTTATTTATAAAGTTACAAATTATTATTATATCTGAAGCTATTGCAATCTGACCTATTATACGCTATAAATTACATAGAATTGCAGTTTTGCAGGAACTGCGGATAATTCACTTGACTATTAAACTGAGCCAAATAGCATTCTGTTTCGAAATCTTTCCACTTTAGAATAGATCAAATCGTTCGTCCTTATTGAAATAAATTCGATAAACAGAGAATGACGATAAACAGAGAATGACGATAAACAGAGAATGACGATAAACAGAGAATGACGATAAACAGGGAATGACGATAAAAAATTAAACAGATGAAATCTTTTTGTTATACGAAGCTAGAAAAGCTTAGAATTGTTCTTTTTGGCTTGATTTTGAATATGACCTACTATTCCCTCGTAATCACTTGAGTCTCGACGACTGAGGGTGCTATTCCATGGAGCGTATTGCGGATCGCGGATCGCGCGTATCGAAAATCTGACCAATCGCGAACTGTAGGAATGATGCTCTCGTATATCGAAAACAACGGAAAATTCGCGATTTGTCAGATTTTCAATATGCGCCATCCGCGATAGGTGCATACACTCCATAGGACGATACTCTGATTGTGTGTCTCCGAGACCGGTGTCTCATGACACGGAAATCCAGAGCGTAGAGGTTCGAACGGAACGCTCGAACCAATCAATAATGAAAAAACAAAAAGAATGGACGAGTTTTCTGTTGATTTTTTCACTATGATTGGTTCACACGTTCCGTTACGCTAGGGATTTCCGCACTCAGGACACCAGCCTGACTGCACATATAACGCTTTGTCTTACAATATACTGGATTCTATCTTTCATCTTAAAGCATTTTTTTATTAAATAATTTTTATTTCTTTAAATAAACATTAAATTTTCTATTATTAATGTATTATATGTAAGAGACGGAAAAAATAATGGAATTTGAATTCAGAATCCTTCGTTTATGAATCACGACATTATGACCACATTGTCGATCCGGCATTATGACTCTGACACACAGGACTCGGCAAAACTTGTCGCGTAGCGGAAGTTGGTGTGATAACCAATCAAATCTTCCGCTACGTGAAAAAGCTAAACTCGATTCAACTTTGATTGACTATCGCGCCAACTTCTGTCGTGCAGGAAGCCCCGCCGCGTCCTGGCCAAAAGCCATTAGTGTTGGTCCACAATAGATGATTTAAGAAGTAAGAAATTGACCAGTTATTATCGAGTATGAAAAGAATAATCGACAATTTCGTAAGAAATTGATCAATCATAATCGATTATTTTTACTATTGTGGGTCGACACTAATATATGTTTTTTCATCTTCAGAGTTATATAGAGTAATTAGAGGCATCTGTCCACATACAATCATATACGCAATTGAACGGTCCGACTTACTCATTTATCTGATTTATGCCGAAGTTATAATATCGATATTACTGACGTTAAATGCCGTGTAACATCGTGATTACATCGTTGTAATAATTCGTTGTAGAATAGCATTTACACGGTACTAACGTCAGTATACTGACCAGAATGGAAACTAGATTTTATCTCGCTTGCCGATTGGTTGGCTTTTGCTCATTGCGAGAGCGCGTCGCAACGTACGCGTCACGTAAGCAAGCATGCGCAATCGAGCGCGATTTGAAGGAAGCCTACTGGCGCCCCAGTGGCGGTCTTCGTGAGCCGAGCGCGGCCATATTTCTTCTCGTGGCTCTCTCACGTTCGCTGGAGGCAGGAAGGTGGTGCGCGGTTTCGACGGTGTGACCGAATTTCCGAGAAGGCGATGCCCGTGTCGCGCGCGCGCATTTCGTAACGGTGTCGTGTAGTGACGGTGCAGGGAGCAGAACGGCTAATCATGCCTAAGGAAGGCGGTAATCCGGCCGGCAGGCGGCCGTCGTCGCGTACCGCGAAGCCCTACGACGCGAACAACGTGAGTAATAGCCTCGCTACGACGGGTGACCGTCGCGACGTGATTGAATCTATGATGACGACGGCGGTAGACCGCGCGCCCTTCGCACGACCCTTCGTTCCCAAGACAGTACGTCGATCTAACCGACGTCGAGCGCCAACTCTTCGACGCATCATGTCCCGCATGCCCGCCCTCTCCCTACGACGAGGCACCCCCACGCGATATCCACGATGTCGCGGTTATGTGAGTGAGCTCGACGATAACCTCAATCCTCCTCTTGTACCTCGCGTGTTGCGCGCGGGTCGCCGTGAGACGCGCGCGTCGTACCCGAGAAGCCGCGGTTCGGTTTTCGCGCGTCTCGCGAGGGACGCGCGTTCATCCGACTGAGGCCACCTGAGGTTTAAGAAATGCGAATTGCGTTTTGCAGCGTCTCCCCCTCTTCCTCGCTTGCCCCTTGCCGAGCATCGCGCACTTCGCGTAGGTCTACGCGCGAATCTTCGCGGTTACGTTATGCTATTCCCCCTATACATCTTTAAATGATTTTCGTATACGAAATCTTGGCATTGAAGTAATGTGAAAACTCATTATTTTTATTATGTTGAATGATGTAACGTATTTTAAATTTTTGTTTGAAAAAAATATTACGTTTTTATTTGTAAGATAATCAAGTGAATGTTAATTCACTGATGAATTGAATGATTTAATGAAATTTACGTCATAATGTTATTTTTCTTTATTAAAATTAGCAAGTTTTATTATCACTTATTTATTTATCATTTATTTATGATTCTATCAAAATATATTGTTATTATCTTAAATTTTAAATAGGTTTAAACGTATTTTCTTAAATTTTGACATTGTATTTTTAACATTAACAGAGATATAATTCTATAAATATGTAAAATTATATATACTTTTGCTTTTATTTTCTGCAATGTATTTATAAATTGTTATATTAATTATTATAAATTTAATCATTTTTAATTTATATCAGTATGTTACATGTTTAATATTCTTTACAGTCATTTGTAAAAAAAATGGCAACCAAGGTAACAGATTTTATACCGCAACCATCATGGATTAGTAAGTGGTTCATTACCTCTCAAAATAATGAAGATACGCCAGAAGGTAGAGGGAATATCGAAGAAACAGAATTCGATGATGATGTACATCAGCCTCCTACCAAGCGATCGCGTATCCGTATGGATGTGATTCATCCACCTGGCACATTTTCTATACAAACGAGAGTTAAAACCGCATTAAATACAATTGAACCTTCTAAAGAGCAGTATCCTGTTCATGAAGTGGTAACTGAAATGAATTTTGATAATGAACACTTGAAAAAAAATGAATTTTGCTTATTAGAATTTATTTATAGACGGAAGATTTTCTGGAACCTGCTACAGCTGGGCCAAGTGGGATAGGTCGTTTAATATCTTCAACACCTGCAGTACAAGCAGATATTAGGGCTGTAACGTCTCACAGGTCTGACTTAAATTCCTTAGCTTCATCGACCAATAATGGGATTGCAAATGGGATGGATGATAATTCAGAATCCAGTGAAAGTACTAGTGGATGCAGTTCACTTATTCCACAGATAAATAGGCACGAAGGCCCGTCAAATTTATTGTATAGTTCGGCATTTACTAGTAGAAAGAGGCATGATGACAAATTAACATTTAGTGAGTATAAATTATGTATCGTATAAAAGTTTAAGTACAAATATTCGGCTGAAATTTGTTATTTAAGAAAAAATGATTATGCTTTAAAGCATAATACAAATATTATTCTTTTGTATGTTTCAGCTAATCATTTACAAAGTTCGAGGTCTTTATTTTTAGATAGTTCTCGCGATTCTTTAAGTAGTCGTAGACCGAGTTTTAACGCATCAATTATTACAAACGCTACAGACCGCGCATCTCCGCTGTCCTCCCCTTTTTATAATGGTAATATTACCTTTGGGGGTGCAAATGCGGCGGGACTTTATAAACGAAATCGTAATATTTTTAACAATTCAAATGAGGTATGTACCTTGTTTTTTTAAGAAAGATTTTATTTCTCCATGTGTGTTCCAAATTATTTTACGAATTATTCGGTAATATAATGAGTCACATTGTTTTATATATATTCATGATTTAATTGTAGATACAACTTAAGGTACCAAGAAGGACGAATGTTGAAGTTAAACCTTCTGATTCAGTGGGAGTTGATTCATCTGGTATGAGTCAAACTGCCAAAAGAATATTGGAGGCATTAGAACATTTCTCATCACCTGTATCTGATGCAAAAAAAATACCATTGAAAAATACAAATAATGTCTCAGTATCCTCAGCATCTTCAGTAACAAGCAGAAAAAGAGCGCGAGAAGAGGTAGCAACGCCATCCGCTAGAATCGGTTTACGTCATTTGACACGTGAATTAACAGTACCAACTGTTCCCGATATACTGAAATTAAGGAGAAGACAAAAATTGCAAGATACAACTCTTATGGCTAGGAAGATCGTTTCTGCTCGTAGCGATCCACCTCCGCCCCCACAAGAATATCGATTAAGGTATATTTACTAAATGTAGTTTTGTATAGTCTTATTTATTCATATATTTCAAAAGTAAATCAAAATATCTCTAAATTTACTTTTTTTAGGACGGAAGATACTGACAATGAAAAATATCGTGGCAAGTTAAAGGGCAAATCTAAAATAAATCTAGAACAAGAAGAAACAGTGACGCCTGTAAATTTGCCAAATATACCTCTACCAATAACGACATTACCCAATTTCAATTTCACTTTACCGCCTCCTGCAGCTCATTCCGCAGGCAAAACTGCAGCAAATAAGGAAAACACTTTCACGTTTGCTAGCCCAATTAAAGTGACGGATGTTGGGAAAAATTTGCAGTCTGTCAACAATTTCACTTTTAGTAATCCAATCAACGCCGAAGACTGCGCGAGTACGATCGACTCGCGTTCAATGACAGAGAATGAGTTTACTGTTGATTGCGCAATCACGTCCATACCAAATTTCATTTGGTCCGGCTCATCCACAGCACCAAGATTAAAAGCGAAGGTAAAAAGCAGCAGGGATGATTCCGTCGAAACCACAGTGCCACAGGAACTCAAATCGAAAAGTGTTATGGATGTATTTAAGTCTAATAAAATGGAATCTAAAATTGGACAGTCAAACTCGGAATTGGATTCTAAAACGACAGACACTATCAAGACTGCCAGCACAAATGTCAATCTAAATCCCGATGTTACAAGCACACATGATACAGAATCATCTTGGGAGTGTAGTGAATGTATGATTAGGAACGACAGTACGAATAAACAATGCACTGCGTGTAAAATTGCTCGATCGAATCCTAATAAAACTTCGTTGCCTTCGACATCAACAATAGATACCATTGTGGAAACAAAACCAGTTACACAAGATTGCTTTGGTTCTCAATTTAAACTTTCTACAAATCAATGGGAATGTACAACTTGTTGTATAAGAAATAAACAAAGTGATGTTACATGTATAGCATGTACGACACCAAAGCCAGGAAGTAATGCTACGGTGCAACAAACTGTTAAATCTCAAAATTTCGATCTAATGAAGAAGTTCAAACCTGCCGAAGGATCATGGGAATGTTCCGGTTGTTTATTGAGAAATGCCGCGAACATGATTACGTGTCCTTGTTGTAATACATCTAAACCCACTACTTCCGTAAAAACTTCGAAGAAGACAAATAGTGTCACAGAATCATTTGCACAACAGTTGAGCACTAATACAGTAGTTACGGGAACACAAGAAAAAACATCTAATAATTCCGAATTAATGAACAAATTTAAACCAAACAAAGATTCTTGGGAATGTCCAGGATGTTTTGTTAGAAACAACAATTCTATTATTACCTGTCCTTGCTGTAGTACGGCTAAACCTAATTCTGCAGAGGGGTCGAGCAAAGCAGAACAAACATCGACTAATGGCTTTGGAGATAAATTTAAGAAACCGGAAGGTGCATGGACTTGCGATTCGTGCTTGTTACAAAATGATGCGAAACATACAGAATGTGTGGCTTGTCAAGCCTCGAAGCCTGGTATTGTAAAATCAAGTGAATCTTCATCGAATAGTGGCTCTACCCTGCAATTTAAGTTTGGTGTACCATCTAGTACAGCAAATTTAACTAGTCAGTCAAGTGGATTTAAGTTTGGCATAGATAAGACTGACACTCAAACTAAATCCGATTCATCTCCTTTAAACGGATTCAAGTTTGGTAATACACAACAGAATAGTGATACAGCACAATTTACATTTGGTGTTCCGAAAGAAGAAAACAAAGCTGTAAGTGAAGCATCTAAAACCAATAATGTCACATCTTCTAGCGGTACAGAATTTCAATTTAATGTAAAAAATTCTGAAAAACTTGAATCTAAAGAGGATCAAGAAAATAAACAGGAAACGCTTTTTGGCATGCCAAAAAGTGAAAGTTTGACAACGGCAAATGAGAAACAGACTTCAAATATTGCGTCTAGCACTTCACTAACCGCTTCTTCTTTCACGTTTGGTATGCAGAAATCAGGATTTAATCAGCCTGCCTCAAATAAAGAAACGCAAAATACTTCCTTTGCAACTACTGTGACAGAAAGTTCTAAACCATCGGCAACAATTGATGCAGTTATTATACCAATTAGCACTAATACAACGTTACCATCTTTATCAACAGAAAAAAATATAACAAAAAATGTGTCTGAGATAAAACCGGAATCGATATTTTCATTCGGGGTACCAAGCAGTACAAGTGCTGTTACTACAACTTCCACGAATGCAACGACTACTTGTCTTCCAACTTTTGCTCAACCTACATTCACTTTTTCCGATTCAAAGAATCAGCCAGCCACATTACCATCTTTTGGCCAGATACCCCCGTCGTCTGTCCCATTGTCCACGAACGTATCATTCGGAGGAAACAAGGCATCCGAGATTACTCCATCAAGCAACAAACCAGCCACCAATGATCCACCAGTCGCTACGCTCTTCCCAATTGTCTCGAGTTCCACACCGCTATTTAATAACGAGTCGAAAACGACGATAGCATTCGGCACGGATAAATCGTTTACTACAACAAGCAGCAAACCATCAGGATTTGCCATGCCTGAGAACAAAATTCCAACATTCGGCAGTAACACCGAAAGTAAACCACCAATTTTCGGTACGTCGGAAACCAAATTGCCAGTATTCAATCCACCCGCGGCAAATCCTCTACCAACGTTCGGTACACCGTCCACCAGTGCCACTCCTTCGCTCTTTGGATCATCCAGTACCCCGGCTTTCGGAAACAATACCACACCCGTTTTCGGCGGCACCTCGACAACACCAACTATCTTTTCAACCACTAAGCCGAACGAGACCAACACTGCATCGAATTCGTCTTTATTTACGTTTGGCTCTGCTTCGTCGCAACAATCGACAAGTGGTAGATTTAATTTTTCTGCAAACGTTAATCCAGCCGCGCCTGCAACTGCAAAGCCGCTTTTCACATTTGGTAGCAATTCAAGTGCACCACCAAGTGGTAACAATACATTCGGTAGTGGTACATTCGGAGTTAATTCCGCTCCAATTGCGAATACTGCAAATTTTACGTTTAATCCATCTAAACAAGAGACATCAGCGACATTTGGTCAAGGTGCAGTGGCAAGTCCGATATTCGGTACTCCACAAGCAAATCCACAGACTCAAGCAACGTCATCGTTCTCATCCACTCCTTCGTCCACCACAGGATTCAATTTTTGGATCCACGGCTCCAGTTGCTGCAACGTCAGGAGGTTTTAACTTTGGAGGAATGGTAAATATAAATAATTTTTTAATATATATTTAATATATATTTAATTATATTTTATTTATATATAATATTAAACATAATAACATAATAACATAAACATAATGTTTATATAGGTGTATATCTAATATAAAAAATATAAATATTCTCAATAATGTATTATATTAAAATTTACTTTTTTTCTCCAAATTATTATTGATAATCAATACACTGTAATGTTACAGTCATCTACATCTGCATCAACCGGAGGATTCAATTTTAATCCTACTCCCACTTCTACTCCCACAGTAGCTTTTGATCCCAATAGTCGGCCTTCATTTAACTTCACCAAAGGAAGTGTACCAACAGCATTCAAGTAAGTATCTTAACTGAAAATTTCTCTAGCTATTTGCTATAGATTCATTGTATTTGTTATAGATTAATTTATCTTGCCTTATAGCGCTCCACCCCAATCGGCACAAGCACCACGAAAAATCAAAAAGGCATTTCGAAGATGCGTACGGTAGAGAGCATATAGCAACATTCATGCATACATTCAGGTGCGTCTCTACATCTGTCTATATATCTGAGTGTGTCCCTCTATGTTAAGCGCTATATAAAGTGATGTACAATGAAATTCTGTCATACATCAATCAATTGCAGTGTGGTGGTATATACCAAGCATCTTTGTAATATAGTAACCCGGAGCTAATCGAATAT